TGCCGCCATGGCCAGCTACTGAATCCATTTCATACCATACAGTTGACTTTTTTTTTTTAAAGAGACAACCCCCCCAAGAAAGATATAAAATTTGAAAATAGAACAAAAAAAAAAGAATTTCAAAACAAGATGATTGGAAATTAACAATGGTTACTACATTGCATATTGTTATCTTCAGAGTAGTTGCTCAGATTACCAGATAAAGGCATGCAAAATTGATCAAAGAATATAAGCACTTACCTGTTCTTTTCAATGAACTAACAGAAATTAGTAATACAATTATCTTAGCTATCTATCTATCTATATACATGTTTTCCCCCTTCCTTCATTCCCTCCCCCCTTGTTCTTTCCTTTTGAGCAGTTTCTTTCCCTTTCATTATATCTGTTGTACCTTTTTTATCTTATTTACTCTTTCATTTTCTTATACTAGGGAGATAATAAAGTGTTTACACATGTGATTCTAATTTATTTCATTTATGAATATGGTCTCTAGTTGCATCCATTTACCTAGGAAAGCTTTGTATTTATCTTTCTTTATAGCTGAGTAGTACTCCATTGTATAAAAATAGTGCCTCTTTTTTTATCCATTCCTCAGTTGATGAACATTTGGGTTATTTCCAAGATTTAGCTATTACCAGTTGTGCTGCTATAAACATGGGTGCACATGTATCACTGTGGTATGATGTTTTTAATTCTTTTTTTATTTTTTTTATTTTTTTATTTTTTGATGTTTTTAATTCTTTCCAGAAGATACCCAGAAGGGGAATAGCTGGGTTGAATGGGGCCTCTAGTCCTACTTTTTTTGAGGAACCTCCACACTGATTTCCACAGTGGTTGTACCCGTCTACACTCCCACCAACAATGGAGAAGGGTTCATTTTTCCCTACAGTCCTGCCAGCATTTGTTATTTGATTTCTTGATCATAGCCTTTCTGGTGTGAGATGATATCTCAATATTATTTTAATTTACATTTTTTAATGGCCAATGATGTTGAACATTTTTCATATGTTTATTTGCCATTTGTATTTCTTCATCTCAGAAGTGTGTATTCATCTCAGATGCCCATTTTTAGATTGGATCTTTTAATTTTAGGGGCCTGATTTTTTAAAATTCTTTACATGTTCTAGATAGAAGTCCTTTGTCTGAGGGACAGTTGGCTAAAATTTTTTCCCAGTTTGTGGGTTTTCTTTTCACTCTGTTGGTGATTTCTTTTAATGTGCAAAAACTTTTCAATAAGATGAGATCTCAGATGTTGATTCTTGAAGTATTTCTTGTACAGTGTTTGGTTTTCGTTCATGAACTCTCTGCCTACCCCTGTGTCTTCAAGATTTCTACCTACTTTCTATTCCAGTAGATTTAGTGTTTCTGATTTAATATTTATATCTTTGTTCCATTTGACTTTAGGGCATGGTTTAGTTTTAGTTTTTGACAGGTGGAAAGCCAGTTTTTCCAGCACCATTTATAAAAGAGGCTATCTTTCTTCCAATGAACATGTTTGGCCCCTTTGTCAAAGATAAGGTTGTTAAGTGTGTATGTAGTTGTGTCTGTATTTTCTAATGTGTTCCACTGAACCTCAGGTCTGTTTTTTGCCAGTACCATGATGACTTTATCATGGTAGCTTTGTAGTATATTTTCACATTAGGTATTGTGATGCTTCTTGTCTTGCCTTTGTTGCTCAGGATTGCCTTTCTTATTCCAAGTTTCTTCTCTTTCCAAATGAATTTTAAGAATATTTTTTCTATATCTGTGAGGTATGCTAGTTGTATTTTCATCAGGCTTGCATTATATCTGTATTAAGAGTTTTGGGGGTATGGCCATTTTTATAATGTTGGTTCTTTTTTCTATGAGCTAGAAATTATCTTTCCATTTTCTGATACCCACTTTGATCTCATTTTTCAGAGTACTGTAATTTTAATGTATAGATCTTTTGCTTTGTTAGATTGATTCCTAAGTATTTCAGTCTTTTGAATGCTTTTTTAAATGGTATTGTTTCACTAATTGCTCTTTCAGTGAGTTTATTGATTTTTTAGTGTTGACTTTGTATCAAGCTACACTACTGAATTTGGTTGTTAAATGTACAAGTCTTTGGTGGAGTTTTTGTGGTCTTCTATGTAGAGTATCATGTCATCTGCAAATATAATTTAACTTCTTCCTTTCCTATCCTTGTCTTTCCAGAATATCCTTCAGTACTCTTTGTAGGGCTGATTTGGCAGTCATGAATTTCTTCAGTTGTTCTTTTTTTTCGTGTTTTTTGTTTGTTTGTTTCTTTTTGTTTTTCTCCAGTACCAGGGATCGAACTCATGACGTTGTGCTTGCCAGGCAGGCACAGTGCCACTGAGCTAAATCCCCAGCCCCTTCTTCAGTTGTTCTTTGTCATGGAAGTATCTTATTTCTCCATGAATTGTGGAAGTTAGTTTTGCAGGGTACAATCAGTCTGGGTTGGAAGTTGTTTTCTGTCAGGACCTGAAATACTTCCCTCCAAGCTCTTCTTAACTTATCTGATGTGATTTTGATTTGCTTTCCTTTACAAGTGATCTGTTTCTTTTCTCTAACAGCTTTTAATATTCTGTTCTTGTGCTGAATTTCTGTTATCTTAATTATTGTATGTCTGTGTGTAGATTTATTTTGCTTAAGGCTAGTTGGAGTTTTATGTGTCTCACCTAAGTATATGTCAGATTCTTTCCCCATGCTTGGGAAATTTTCTGCCATTCTAAAAATAATCTTTTTATGTCTTTTCTGTTGGCTCCTGCTTTTTCACTGACACCTATCTCTTTGATATTGTTCTTCTTTGCATAGTCTTGCTGCTGTTGGATTGTTCTTTCCTGGTTCCATGTTATGTTTAAGAGATCTTTCCTTTCATGGTCACTAGCTGCCACAATGCCTTCAAGGTGTGAAAGTCTGCCTTCAGTTTCTTCTTCTTTTTCTTTTTCTTTTTTTTTTTTTGAGACAGGGCCCCACTCTGCAGTTCAGGCTGGCCTTGAGCTTACTTTGTAACCCAGGCTGGTCTCGAACCTGCAACAATCCTCCTGCCTCAGCCTCCTGAGTACTGGGAGAATTACAGGTGTGTGCCACCACACCTATCTTCAGTTTCATTCAAGTGGTTTTGCCAGCTTTCAGTTGAATTTTTAATTTCCTGGATATCTCTTGGAATATGTTTCATGCATTCTAATTCTTTCCTATATTCTTCATTCAAGATTTCCATCATTTTTCTATACTCTATTTTGTTATCTATGCCTTCTTTAGACATGCTTAGCATTTCTTTCATTATGGTTATTATTATTATTATTATTTTTTACCTGAGAGATTATTTCTCAACTGATTTTTGCTATAGCATCCTGGAGTCGTTTATTTACTTCAGTTTCTATCATTTCAGAAATTTCACGTGTGTGATTTCCAATTTCTTCTATGTTGATGTGTCCTGGACTTGTTATGTGTGGGCTGGATGCCCAAGATTACATTTTGCTCCTTCGTCTTGACATTTTCTATTTCAAACAAATTTTTGTTTTGATTTCTGTGATGATCCTTGTGAGTTTTGCTAGTAGGTAGCTATGTCACTACTATCAAGGCCTCTCTAGGAAAAGTCTGTTCTTCAGGGATATCTTCTGTGTGTAGAAGATTCCTGGTTTGTGTCTATCCCCAAACCTTATCTTCTCAATTAATTGAGAGTGGGATGCTGGTTTCCATTTGACTCTGTCCTCAGTCTTTAGGTGTAGGACTGTGGTGAGGTTATTACCCCAGAGCTTCCCAATATTGTTAGCCAAGGGAGAACAAGTAATTACAGCAGATATGACATCATAGCTGCAGTAGTACAATTAGCAATAATGATAGCATCAAGCACAATTTAGAAATTGACAAACTATGGTAACTATTGATTTTGTACTTTGGACCACTGGAGCAAAGTCTATAATTATATAAAAGAACAAATTGTGAATTAGGAGTTTATATGCAAAGCATTTCTCCTTGTTAGAGTGGATTTACCATGGATTCCTCTGGCTGAGCCATTTACCTAGTGCCAGGCACTTCACACCATGTAGGGGAATGGGTCACACATTGGGTTCCTCAGGCCAAGCTGCTGCTGAGTCAAGTCCTTCCCACACTGGCTTTATTAGCTGCCCTTTAGTGGTATATGGAAATGGGTCAGGCATCAGGTTCCTCTGTCTCCGCTGGTTCCTGGTTCCCAGGCACTTCCTGAGGTAGAAGGGATGAGTCTAGTACCTGGGTTCCTCTGGCCGAGCTGGTTGCTGAATCTGAGGTGCTTCCCTTGCCAGCTGCTCTTCCCACACTGGCTGTCCTCGTGGTGTAGGGGGATGGGTCAGGCCCTGGGTTCCTCTGGCTGAGGTTGTTGCCATGTCCCAGGTGCTTCCTTGGTTACTCTGCAAACAGTTGACTTGTAAACCACATGCTCTCTGTAAGGTATTGTTTGACAATATATGTACATGAACATAAATTTGTGTGTCTTTGTGTGGAGAGAGTAAATTATTATGAAGTCAAGTTTAGTGTTTATAAGGTCATTAAAACAGCAAAGTAAGTTTCACTAGAAGTAAGGTTTTTATACTGGAAATTAAAGAGAATACTTATTTCATAGAATTCTTTGTTTTTGTCTAGGCCACAGAGTAATCATTTAATAAGATGAATTTATAGTTGTTTAAAATAATTGGATCACATATTAAAAACAGAACTGACCAACCATTTATAAAAATAACGTATGACTACTTAAGTAACTGTAAATAGAGTTAATGATATAATTCAGTTTTTTGGATGTATACATATCAAATTAGATGGAAGGGAGAATGTATCTTATACTAGAACCTTACCTAGGATGGGTTTTTGGTTTTCAGTGTTTTTAACAGAACAGTTTTTGAGACACTTTTGTCAATTAAATTTTCTCAAAAATGCTAATATTGTCACATTTTAGTTTTCCTATTTGTTTAAAGTGTCCTTATTGTCATTTCCTTCTTTATAAGGAGTATTTTTACGTGTACTGTTTCCATCTCCCCAAGGCTGTAATCAAAAGAAGATGTTTTCAGAAAACAAAGAAAATGTTAAGCATGTGAAAACGTCAGAGCAAATTAATGAAAATACTTGTGTAGCTCTGGAAAGGCAAGCAGCAGTGCTGGAACAGGTAAAATATTGAGGCCTAAATATGTACTTAAGAAAGCTTTACTTTTGATGAGTAAAAAAATGTTAAAAGTTAACTGATACTTACAGTGAGAAGTAGAGATGACTGTAACTTAATGCAAAGTATGGTATGTGAAAATGAAATAGCAGACAGGTGATCATTTATGTTACCATAATATCTAATTTCTTCACATTACCTGTAGTTTTTACAAAGTGATCTTAGAGAGCAACCTAGGGAATCATATACGTAGTGTCCTGTTGTAGAAAGAGAATGGATGTTCTTAAAATCAGTAGTATGATTAAATCTTTGTGTAAGTCACACAATAAATGACCTCAAGCTTTGCTAAGTAGTCTAGTTTCTTTTGGTCTTGGGATTCTTTCATTTGCAGCTGTAGCTTTTTGTAGATCTCATCATAATTGTTACAATTTCATAGACAAAGATAACCCGGAAGTCCATTGCAAAATCCTGCTGCATATAGGTTTAAACTATATGCAGGGATATTAAACTATCCCTTAATATTTCAACTAACATGGATAGGTTGCATTAGCTGACATTCTGTATTATAGCATCACAGAATATACTTCTCGTTTTTGCTTTGCCCGTGTAATTTTATTATTCTACAATGTCGATACATGTTTAATCAACTCTAAGTTGAAGTGAATGAGCTTCAATTCTAGTACAGTGGTTATAATCAGCATCTGTTTTGAGGATCAGGGTTACTATATCACTACCACTGGAATGTTACCCATAAAACAGATTATATGGTAGATAAATGCCTCTTAGCTGTAATAGACCAAAATTTTTCAATCCAAACAATCCTATTTGTTTTAGGGAAAAAAAGTCACTTCTATTTTCTAAAACAGATCATTACAGTTACATAGTTGATAGCCTATGAATATGAATTTACTTAATAATAAAAACCTCTTTAAAAGATTCATTCAAAATCAGCTTGAAAGGTAAGTTTTCAGTTTTTCTCTACCTCCTGTTTTTTCCAGTAATACCCAAGGAGACATTAATTAAATTTTTTAAAAGGTAACTCTTCTATAGCTGGCAGAGAAGGGGTAGTAGACACATGGATCAAGCTCTAGAAGCATGTTACCTGAAAAAAATAAAAAGATTGAGGGTTCCATCTGTGTGTCCAGTGATCAGTGGCTTTCAGAAACAAGTGATGATATATGCTTATATAAACACAAAATTTAATGGGGTCTTTGAACCTTTTTTTTTTTTTTTGGGGGGGGGGGTCTCTTGAGACAGGGTCTCGCTGTGCAGTTCAAGCTGGCCTTGAGCTCACTTTGTAGCCTAGGCTTGTCTTGAACTCGCAACGATCCTCCTGCCTCAGCCTCCTGAGTGCTGGGATTACAGGCATGTGCCGCTACACCCAGCTCTTTGAATATTTTAATTTCATTGGAATTAAAAAAATCATGCTTCTCAGTACTATTTGTGTAGTTTACAAAATACTTAACCCACCTTGATTCACAGAAAATAGTACTTCCCAGTGAATTTAAGTAATGCACAAGTTTCTTATACATTCTTGTACAAGATGTAATTTGGATATCAGCTAATTCTTTTTCCCTATCTCTAAATAGTTAGTTTTCCACTCATTTGTTATAATTCCTGTTCATACAACTATCTCTGTACCATATATCTGATACTTTGGTTTTGCAGTGCTGGGGACTGAACCTAGGGATAGGCAAGTACTCTAGCACTGAGCTAGATAACTCCAGCTCTTGAAACCGTATCTATACATTTTGTTTTTCCTTATTGAGAAAGTCCCAGAGCTGTGGTCTCTGATCTTTTAGGCCTCAAAAGGATCTGGGTCTAGCTAACTCCAGTTAGATTACTGAACCAGAGGGACTTTTCCTCCAGACTCTTAAGTTATTCAATCTACCTACAATTTAGAAAGTGGGAACAAATTGGGGATATACAAATTTGTACTTTTTACAAAGTTTAAGTCAGCTGGGCTACCATCTGCAAATTGAAACCAGACTTCTGTCCACTTGTGTTGGACACATTACAGTTGCCAAAAGATATTTGTGAGGTATTTGGTGGAAGTCACTGTGTTTTCCTTGAATAAAGAACGTGACCATTAAATGAGAATAAACGTCTACTCTAAGAGGAATCACCATTGTTGTGCACTTAGCTCTAAGATAATCAAGTTTTAAAATCACTTGTATTTGAATCACTATGAGTACTTGTTTAAAGTGTAACTTTCTTGAGCTCATTAGTAGTTGAAGGTTACTGTCTTCTCAAACTTACCTAGTAAGAATCATTGGGGGTGCCTTTTAATTGTATAATTTTCTAGTGTCTTTTCTAGGGAATTCTTTGGATCCAGGATGTAGCTTAGGAATTTGTGATTTCAAACAAGTATCACATGTGACTTTCCTTTCCAGGGAAGTTTGAGAAACATATTTTCAAAGAATTTAGATGTGTTTCTTCAAGATTTCTTGAGTGTGAGCTTTCACATATTGACTCCAGCCAGTGAACTGGCATGCATGCAGTGATCCCTAAAAAGCACATACAGTTTTTTTAAAAAAGTGATTGCTGTCAGTAAAAATGGTATACATTTCCACACTTTGGTTAATATGTTAACACTTGGGTTAACATTAACATATTTTGAGCACTCTATTATATATAAATATATCTTGAAGCATTACAGAAGAGGTCAAGTAGATGACAGTGCTGAAGAGTGAAAATAATCATCAATAAGGAAAAATGTTAGGAATAATTAAAATTATATAATACTGTACAATTAATTATCCAGGTGCTATTGATATGAAAGAGTTTTAATGTAGGAACTATGTGAATCATGAAACAGTATACTGGGTATAAGAATTTACTGACAACTTTCCATTCAGTTAGCCAAAAAATACAGGCTACAGCAGATAGCATTTTATATACTAGAAGTCAACATAACAAACATCAAGATGTATGCTTTAAGTGTATCATCACAGTTCTCGTTATTAAAGGACCACTCTTGTTATGAAAGTTACTTATGGGAGGATAACACTTAAGTGCAAAATTCAGTGTTTCTGAATGTGAGGTTTGACAGAACTATTCATGTGATCGGGCATTGAGGTTAATTAGGCTTCCTGAGAAGGAGCCAGTCTATTTAAAACAAAAGAAAAAAATAATGGAATTCCTTAATTGGTTTTATGTAATAGTTACTACAGTCTTTCAGAATAGCATGCATTGTACCTGATTGCATCAGTCACAACATAATTGTGGTTTCTTTCAATTTTAACATAACCTAACTTTTAAAAGTTACGCAAGTAATATTGATCATCTTACATATTTATTTCTCCTACATCAGCTAAGTATTTTTCATTTTATGGAACTCTTTCACATATTACCTCACTTTGTTCTTATAAAATTCATTAGATATCACTCATTTAACCAACATTTACTCTTATGTACATTTGTGGACAGAAAAGATTAAGAGATTTTAGGACTTCTCAAAGACTATAGCTTGTTAATTGTGGGATCAAGCCCCAAACTTGTATAATTTGTTTATATCTACCATAGACCCTCCAACCATTTTCATCAGGCTGTGGTTTTCATATAAGTAGAGCTCTTTTCTTCATAGTCATTTAAAAAAAATGGAATATATTCTTCTAATGATTCCTATAATATATATTATGGAACAATAGTCAACTAGAAGAAACTAAAATAATACTTTGAGAATAAATTTAATTTCTAAAATGTCTATATTTAAATATTGGATATGTTCTGCTGAATTTAATACTCAAGTTTTAAAAAAACTTAATGTAGTAGAGCTGGTTGTGTTGGCACACACCTGTAATGCCAGTGTTCAGGAGGCTGAGGCAGGAAGATCGTTGAAAGTTTGAGGCTAGCTTGGGCTACCTAGTGCTTTCAAAGTCAGCCTGAACTATAAAGCGAGACCCAGTCTCAAAAAAAACAGCAAATAAAACTTATTGGTATAGAAATGTAAGTACGGGGGCTAGGGATTTAGCTCAATGGCATAACGCCTGCCTGGCAAGTGCAAGGTTGTGAGATCGATTCCCGGTACGAATAAAAACAAAAAAAAAAAAAAAAAACCAAAACAAAAAAAGAAATGTAAGTACAAATGTAATATATATTTTGCAGTTACATTAAATGTAGAAAAAGATCAAAGCTATATTTAAAAGAAATAAAAGATAAAGTTGTTTTTAATTATAAAACCCTAGAGCATTTTGGTTTTTATTTTCAAATTCTAGGTCAAACATTTGATTGAACAGGAGATCTGTAGTACAAATTTCAAACTATTTGATAAAAAAGTGAAAGAATTGAATGAACGCATTGGGAAGACACAGTGCAGGAGAAAACATGAAGCAATAGCTGGTGAACTCTTTGTAAGTGTCTAATTTCACTTGATTTCATTTGAGTCCTTTTAAAAAGTGGAATTTGATGTTATTTTATGTATTTTGAAAGGCAAACAATAAAGCAAGACCCAAATTTGATTCTTCACCACAGGTGTAATTTAAGACATATAGTCGGTAATGTAGAGTTTATTATAAGCTAGTAATATTAGCCCTTGAGAAACACACTCAGAACTATCACACATTTTGTGTCAATTGAAATGTTTAATATATAAATAGTCTTTTCATTCTAACAATATCCTTTTTAGGGCTTGTATAACATATTTGAAGCTCTTGTAGATTTTTTTTACTGTTGTTGGGTTACTTGCTGATGACTTTCATGGTTTTATCTGTTCTTGAATATCATACAAGTATAAAATCTGCTTTAAATCTTTTGCTTGTACAGTCATCCCCTTCATATCCTTGGTTTCTGCATCTTTATGTTCAACTAAATTTGCTTTGAAAATACTCAGAAAAAAAAATATGTCGAACATATATAGCCTTTTTTTCTTGTCATTATTCTGTAATTATGATCTAACAACTATGTACACAGCATTTATTCTGCATTAGGTATAAGTAACCTAAAGATGACTTAAATTGCACAGGAGGCTATGTACAGGATATACACAATGTTATGGCATTATATATAAGGACTTCAGCAGCATCCATAAATTTTGGTATCTGAAAGATTTGGAACAATCCCCTGTGGATACCAAGGGATGGATGTGCAAGAATTTTTAGTTTGTTTATTTTTTGGGTCCCGGGAATTGAGCCCAAGACTTCACGTTTGCCAGGCAGGCCCTGAGCTGCTGAGCTATATCCCCGGCCCTGAATTTTTAGTTGATGTTGAGTGTTGTGGTGTACACTTGTAATCCCAGCACTGTGGGAGGCAGTAACAGGAGGCTTGCAAGTTCAAGCACAGCTTGGGCAACTTGATTGGTGATTTCACAAAACAGTCTCAAAAGTAAAGGACTGGGAATGTAGCTTAGCACAGAGGCCCTGGGTTGAATTACAGGTACCACACACACACACACACAAAGAGACCAAAAGATAAAGAAATTCTCACTTATTGGCGTAGATGCTTAAATCTAACAAGACAATTCTGGCAAATAAGTTTTCCTCTACCTCTCCATGTTATTTAATACTCTGGTTTGATGTTTACTTATTTTTCTGTCTTCCAGACAAGAATAGCAAGACTTCAAAGACGTGTTAAAGCAATCTTAGCATTTCAAAGGAAATATTTGGAATCAAATACATTTTCCAGTAATACCCCCTTTAAGGTTGGTATAAACACAGGAGTTTGAATAATCTGGTTGACTCATAGTAGAAACAGTTGGATTATAGAAATAAATGTTTTTCCAAACTAGGATAGACATCTTTAAAGGACAATACATTTCGAATGTTTTCATGAATCTGTTTCTAGAGAAGATACTCTTAGGCATTTTAAAGTCACTGGCTTGTGTCTCTTTAACAAAAGAAGTAGAAAGGGACTTGGTGATTGCCTAGATTGTTCACTCAGCGCTTTTAACGTGAAAAGCAAAGTTGAGTTTTATAGAGTAGATTTCTATTCTCAGCACCTAGATTTTATCATAGTTACTTTTTCATGTTCATCCCTGCTATGCCATCTTGTATTTGGTCTAAATCTGCAATATATTTTTGGGGTTTTGTTTCTATCTATGCATGTGCACTTGTTTGTTTGTGCTAGTGGGGATTAAACCCAGAGACTTCACATTTAGCTGTATTCCCAGCCCTTATAATTTTGAAACAGGATCTTACTAAGTTCCGAAGTTGGGTTCAGCTTTCACTCTTCATGCCTCAACTGCCAGAGTGTTGGGATTTACAAACACACCACAGCCTACCACATATACACACACACACACACACACACACACACACACACACATACATACTTTTTTGGGGGCGGAGGGCAGACAGGGTCTTGTTATGTAGTTGAGGCTGGCTGCGAGCTCACTTTGTCGCCCAGGCTGGTCTCAAACTACTGATCATCCTCCTGCCTCAGCCTCCCGAGTGCTGGGATTACAGGGGTGTGACACCATGCCCAGTCCTGTTTATATTTTATATACAAAATTTATATAATCTTCCATTCATGTTCACTTTATTTTTTTCTTGCAGTGTGTTTGTTAGTCTTTGGTATCAGATTTATGTCTTCTCTGTTTGTATAAAATTTTTGTTCCTTAAATGTTTAGTAGAATCAATCTGAAAACTGGGTTTCAGCTCCAGAAAACTGGAGCTTTATTTTGTAAAGAGATTTTTACTTAAAAATTTATTTTTTAAATTAGTTTTTTGAGACAGGATCTCACTATGTGGCTGGCCATGAACTCATGATCCTCCTGCCATAATCTCCTGAGTGCTGAGATTACAGACATGGCATTTCCTTCCTTCCTTCCTTCCTTCCTTTATTTATTTATTTATTCATTTATAAGACAGGTTCTCACTATGTAGTCCAAGACAGCTTTGAACTCACCAGGTGGCTCCAGCTGGACACAAATTCATAATCATCTTGCCTCAGCCTCCTGAGTGCTGAGATTATAGGCGTGTACCACCATGCCCTGCTTCTGCACTATTATTTAAAAGTGCTTGTGTTTATCTTCCAAGTATCTGGGACTTTCTTAGTATCTTATTTTTTATTGATATCTAATATAATCCCACTTTGATAAGAGGACATTATATGTAAAATTTAACTTTTAAGAGTTATTGACACTTACTTTAAATACCTGTATATGATTTTGATTGGTATGTGTTCTGTGTACAGAATATTGAGTGTAATATCCTACAAATGGTAATTTTATGTTCGTTGTCCAAAGGTGATTGATAATATTGTTCAGATTTGCTGTGGCTGTTGTAGAATGAATAGTAGTCCCAAAAGATGTCCATGACCTAATCCCCAGAACCTGTGAATATGTTACCTTACAGGGTGAAATTGTAGATCTGATTAAATTAAGTATTTTGAGATGAGGTGCTTATCCTGTATTATCTGGGTTTGTTCAATATAATCAGAAAGCTCCACACAAAAAGACATAAGAGCCCAGGGAAATGGTGCACACCTGTAATCCCAGCACTTGGGAGGCTGAGGCAGGAGAATCGCCAGGACTTCAAGGCCAGCCTGGGCTACATAGTGAGTTCAAGGCCAGTCTGGACTACAGAGCAAGATCCTGTCTGAAAAACAAAAACAAACAAAATGTATAAGAAGGTCAAAGACAGAAGAGCTGGGAAAATGGAAGCAGAGGTTGGAATGATGGGAACTGAAGGCACAGGAAGAGGCCTCAAGCCCAAGGATGCAAGGATCTTCCAAAACAGACTTGCAAAAGAAGTGCTCTTTTGGCTTAGTGAAGCTGATTTCAAACTTCTGACCTCTGGAATTATGATAGAATGAATTTCCAGGGTGTCCATGTATGTTTGTTTTGTTGTATCAGAAACTGAATCCAGGGCCTTCACACTGAGCTACATTTATAGGCCTTTTTTATTTTTTTTTATTTTTTTTTATTT